GGTTTTGGAAGACGTAGGTAAGCTCAAAGCAGGAGCCACAGCCGGGGGCGTCGAGTTCAAACTTGCGGACGGCACCGATGAAGACGCCCTGACTGCTCAGTGGATGGTGCTCACACAATCAGCCCGACAGGCATATCACGCAACCACTACACACCCATCTCCTTCGGCTGCCCCGACTGCACCAACGACCACTTCTTCATCTCACACCGACAAGGACATCGTTCCAAAGACGCTCCCAGCAGGCGTATATAACAAGCTCGTCGAGGATTACAACTCTATCACAGTCGACGGAGAACGACGACAGTTCCCCGAGAGGAACCTTGTCGGAGCTGAGAAAGTCCTGGCACGGATGTATCACGAACACCACACATCGAAGATGTATACGGCTACAGCCCTGGGAGAGATTGTATCACAACGAATCTGGACCAGCTTCAACACCATCAACTCGACCAGAAAGAAGGACACCAACGAGAAGAAATTGGTACTCGACGAGCGCAACAATATCACGGAGAAATCACAGGACGAATGGGACGTGCGGGGACAATGGATGCTCATCGACGCCATCGAAGCAATCCGATGGGCTTGGATCCTCCTCAAGTATGCCTCCGAGACCGTCATCAATAAGTACGTCGAGTGGTTCATCCGACTGGTGCGCAAACATTCACAACGCATTAACAACGTCAAGAGCCTTTGGGAAGAATTCTCCTGGGATATCGCCATGCGGATGCGCTCTAACGAGACCTTCCAGATGATCACCGAGGACCTCATGAACGATCTCACTAAAGTCAACGACGTCATGCAACAACCCTTGTCCAAACGACCTCGAGTCGGCAAGGGCTACGAACAATCCACCAAGGGCAAAGGTAAGGGATACCAACAGAAGTGGTCGCCTCCTGGACAGGGACGCCGATACCGACAATCCTGGACGACCACTACGACACCATGGCGACCATGGCAGCCAACGACGCCATCGTGGAACGCACTAACGTCGTCATCATGGCAGACTTCTCCGACGCAATCCTGGACTCCCCCGATGCCACCGAGCTTCTCCACACCTACTCTCACACCGATGCTTCCCTTTAACCCGGCTCCACAAGTCTCGCAGCGACCACAGTGGAACGCGAAGGGCGAGAAAGGCTCGAAAGGCTCCGGTAAGAAAGGTAAAGCCGGCAAGACCGGCAAGAAATAGGGACAGCACGGCCCAGGGTCCACGGATCTTGGAGCCGACCATCGAATGACGGAATCACACGACCGGGTATGCACACTGTGCTATGAGCTGGTCGGCACCCTGCCTTTGGTGCACCTGTCCTTCTTCGATGGCATCGGGATTGCCTCCGAAGCACTTCGACGGATCAACGACAACGTGATCATTACCTTGGCGTGGGAGATCGACCACGACTGCGCACAATTGACGTCGCGACGCTTCGGTTCAGTACACATGGGCGACGTCGCACAGTTCAACCTCGAGGCCGTAGCACAACACATCACGGCAGCGACACGAAACCAGAACTACGTCATGGTGGTCACAGCCGGACCTCCATGCCCGGACTTTTCCAACCTACGAAGCCAACCTAAAGGATCCGACGGGACGTCTGGTTGGCTCTTCCGACACATGGTGGGCATCGAACATCAAATCCGGAAACACTTCATCGGCGTCCCGATCGAGACCATCGTCGAGAATGTGGTACCTCATCCCGACGTACGCGAGAACGTCTCAGAACTCACATCACCGATGTGCATGGATCCCGTCGTTATTGACGCTGCGGACTCCGGGATGATGCATCGCAAACGACTGTGGTGGACTTCGATGTCCTGGAACGTCATCAACGAGAGACTCCCCCGCCTTACACCTTGGTCTCTGGATTGGCGAATCGACGGCGAATGGCACCGACTACATAACCCAATGGCTACCGAACTACAACCTCAACTCCTCGCACGGGGTTATTCCCTACCACCGTGTCTACAACGACAAGAAGCTTTTCCATTGCTTGACTACGCCGTCCACGTCGACATCTGGAAGAGAACCCCCGAAACAACTACACGACCGTTCCACATCACAGGATGCATGGCAACGATGGGAACAAGACAACCGACGGTATCCGACTTGGCAATATGAGAAACAGTTTCTGGTCACCATGCCCGATGGTACATGGACTACAGCCCCAGCTTCCCTACGCGAACAACTCCAAGGATTACCTCTGGATTATACTGCAGATCTCGGCGCTGGTGACGAGATGGAACGCTGTAAGGCGCTGGGGAACGCGTGGCACCTTCCCACGGCGATCTGGATTATCTTCCTGCTCCTCCTGGGGACCGTTGACGCGTCCATCCCCGATACACCACGAGTGTCCCCACTACAACAGATCACCTCACTCTGGCTACACCATAAAGTACCCTTTGGTCCTCCTCCCAGGTCCCCGAATCACGATTATATGCCACAATTTTCGTGGACCGAATATCGCGAACTCTGGGCAAGCTGACGCCAGGGATTAATTGGCATGTGCGCCAAGACCAGAAGTACCTCGAGCCAACACCTATCGACGAGTTCAGCGAGAGGAACCGACAGTACATCACGGACAAGATCGAGAAGAACTCAGTCGACGAACATTGGGAACTCATGCTGGACGAAATCTTGGCCGAAGTCGACATGGGAAGAATGAATGGACCTTTCCAAGCCCCGGATTGGTGGCCTCGAGCTGCCACGGTACCACACAAAGGAAAACATCGGACACTGTTACCGTACTCCGACCCATACATCGCGATGGCCTTCAGCATCGAACAGACTGGCAGCGACGGCAGCAACAAGGTCAGACGCGGTGAAGATTGGCGACGCAGTGGACACAACGCGACATGCACGATGCATGATCAGCCATGTATCATCACACTCCAGATCACTTCATTGGGACTTGCCACGATCAGAGATGACCATCTTCGACCTCTGTCAGTATGGGAACACGACCACGACGGCGCGTATCGACAACTACCTCTTCGTGACCCCCGAGAGGCATATGTCATGCTGCTCACCCCGGACGGCCCGACATTATGGAGCCACAATGTTCTCCTCTTCGGATCGGCTGCAAGTGTTTGGTCGTACAATCGATTCGGCGACATTTTGGTCGCCTGCAGTCGAACGATGATCCTGTCACCAGCTATGCACTACGTCGACGACTATGGCTCTATGGAAGACTCCGACCTCGCCAAAGGCAGCTTCGAGTCCTTCGAAGAGTATAACGGCTGCCTCCAGATATCGATGAAGCCCAGCAAACGCCAACCACCACAAACAGCACATCGAATACAAGGAGACATCATTTCATCCGACGATGACAACCTGGTCCTGACACCTTGCCCGAAGAGAGTCGAGAACATGTGCAGACAAATCGACAAACACTTGACAACTTCGTCACTGTCTCCCGAGCAGGCCAGGAAGATGGCCGGGAAGTGCAACTTCCTCACCGGGCGACTGTTTGGCAAAGTGGGACGAGCAGCCTTGAAAGCACTTTACTCCCGAGCTCACTCCCATTCACATGCTCTCGATAAACCTACACGTGCATCATTGTTGGCTCTCAAGGGCATCACACAACATTGCCGACCGATGACGATACCACGCACACCAACCAGGCCGAGATATAGCATTATCTACACGGATGCATACTTCCGACTCGGCTCCACCATCTACAAGCCGGGAGACAACGACATCGCGAATTGGGACTCCAAGTCGACGTCCGACATCGAGAACGGCTGGGCAGCAGTTTGCTTCCACCACGGTGACGTGCAAACTGCCGCCTACTTCCAAGGCCGTATGCCTTCACTACTTGTAAGGCAGTTTTCCTCCGACCAGGCCTTCATCTACCTTCTTGAGGCCTGGGTAGCGATCTTGGCACCATTGGTCTTCGAACCATGGCTAGATCAGTTCTACGTTCAATGCTGTGACAACGAAGCATCCAGACACGCTCTGCTTAAGGGCGTTGGCAAACACCAACCTTTGAACTGCCTCATTGCGGCACATTGGACTTGGCATAATCGGCGCAGTCTTGCACATCGACTCGAACGGGTACCTACCAAGGCGAATATCTCCGACGGGATCAGCCACTTCGAGAACGTTCCGGAATCCGAGTCCTGGACCAAACTCGATGTGCCCCTATAGGTGCACTGACGAGTAGAGCTGCGAAGATCATAGGAGATATTCATTTTGCTTCCTCCACGGGCTTTTCCGACCTGCCCGAAATTCACCGATTGCACACTCTCTTGCTTTCGATGTTACGTTAATGTACTTTTCCAGTGGCGTTCGCCTGCGATGGGAGGACGCGACCACCCTCGATGGGAACCAGTCGGTCCTCCCAGCGGAAGGAACTCTGATACTTCCTGTTCGGAAGATCAACACCGATCTGTAAGATCGACTACTTCGATCTGTAAGATCGAAGCGCAGACATAACGCCACCGAAGCGGAAGCAGTTGGAAAACAGCTCCGCTCCAGCCAGGGATTCATGGCATTTGTGTGAGAATTCTGTTGTCGTGTAGCACACACTTGTTTGTGCGAAGTGACAACTTCATATCTCACCTAAACACCGAATCGGTCAGGGGATTGACTCACCGATTCATTTCGAATGATTGTATACTCCGTGGCCATTTTGGCGAAAGCTGTTACAGCTTGAGCGAAATTTGTTTCACCCACCCGCCCCGACCCTTTTTTTATACTACTTTTCCATTTTCCTCTGCTTCCTGTCTGCGAGAACCACCTGGGAACCAGTCGGTCCTCCCAGCGGAAGGAACTCTGATACTTCCTGTTCGGAAGATCAACACCGATCTGTAAGATCGACTACTTCGATCTGTAAGATCGAAGCGCAGACATAACGCCACCGAAGCGGAAGCAGTTGGAAAACAGCTCCGCTCCAGCCAGGGATTCATGGCATTTGTGTGAGAATTCTGTTGTCAGGCATGGCGGCAGTCGCTTCAGTCCACGGCCTTCTGTTCTGCAGCTGCGCGGTGCCTGTGTTGCTTACATGTGCTTACAAGCTACGCATCCCCTCGGCCTGGTGGGCACCCACTCCGGGAACATGGGTAAAGAGCTTGCCGATCAGATGTTCTTGTCTGCCTTGCATCGGCGAATGGCCTGGAGATGCTGGGGTGCCCTCCGTCGCTTGAGGTTCGGCTTGATGGCGCGCCTCCCCGGGACCACGAGGCCCCGACAGGTCGAGAACCTTAGGTCAAGATCTGGGTGTCCGAGATTGCTGCAGAACTCTGCGCGCTTCATAATGCCAGCATAATAGAGTCCTTTGCTTGAGTGTTCGTGTTGAGTTGTGCCTCTGAGGTCATAAGCCGTAGGTCTGCTGTACTTGCAGCGCACTGCACGCCAAACCCAACCGGTTCTGAGATCCGGCAGCAGCTGTGTCCACGCTGCTGGAGCAACACGCGGAGACAAAGGCCAATCATGATCACGTCGTTTATCAGCCAGGGCAGCTGTGCGAGGAATGAGTGCTAAGCCGTTCTCTGAACACTTTAGGAGGGGCTCAGATCTTGGCAAGCCACGTTGTGCTGCTTTTGCATTTTTGCTCAAAGCTCGAAGGCGATAGGCACTCGGAGTACGTTCTCTGTAGTTTTGCGCTTGCACCACTGGCCATCACAACCCCGAGGATGGCAGATGGTGGTGCGAAGCCGAAGAATGTGAAAGTTGATCTTCAGCATGAGACGGATAAGCCCACCAGAATAAAATTCTTTCATGTGGACAAGAATCAGAAAGCAGAAGCAGCTCGTGAGAAATTGATCGATGATATTCGAGATTTTCTGATGCAGCGCAAGCTTATTGACGACAAATCTTGCGAACTGACGTTTGCGAAGCGGCAGGCCGAAGGTCCTGACTCTCCCTTCGGCGTGGCAGAGATGCAGGAGCTCCTCGACAGGTTAAACGACACGTTAAAGACAAGCCAGGCTGTATACGAGAAAGTCGAGCTTCGTTGGTGCAAGGGTTGCGTCGAGAACGTGACCATGCAGCAGCGCCAGTATCTTTCAGCTGCAGGCTGTACCATGAGGGTCAGGAAGACCTTCCTTGAGTTTGAGTGTGGGCCTACCTCTGACTCTGACGTTGAGAATGACGCGAAAACGCAAAAATCTGCTCCAGCTTGCGGCACCATGAGGCTTTTACATTTGTGAGTCGCATCTCGGCCGGGCGGTGCCCTTTGCACAGCTTGAATTACAGCAAAGTGGCTTGTCGAAGCACGTCTCGCCACTACCGGCGAGTCTCAATTTTTGAGGGCTGCTAGCTCGTCGCGCCCTACGCGCGGCAGCTCAAGCCATGCCATGCAGGCCATGCACCTCCCCGATGCCTCGCGACCCTACGGACCGGCGCCGGGACAAAAAGTCAGGCCGAGCTGGCCGGTGATAGTGGCTGACCGCTGAGGGGGCAGACGGATGTGCACCGGCAACTGCAGGCTTTGGCGGCGTGCGACCAGAGCCGTCGACGACAGTGGAGGCCAGCTGCAGGCAATGGGTGCCGACCGCACAGGTCATGGCTAATTTTTCGTCGTAGTTAGTAGTTCTTCCTTCATCTTCCGTCGCTCTCCTTTCCCTTTCGTGAATGTGAAGAGTTTCCGACAGGCATGCTAGACTAAACGACTGACGTTTGTCATCATCTGTTTTTCCGGCTCATAGATTGGCATATGTTTGGCATTGATGGAGGTTGTGCTTTTTTGCAGGGTCCAGCCACGTGGGCATTAACTGCAGCTCGGTGGGCCAGGCATGGCTGGTGCAGTAGCTGGTGCTGCTGGCATCTCTTGGGAAGCTGACTGGAGGCTGTCCGGCTTCTTCTGCTTCGCCGTTTGGAGCCATAGCCGTACAGTGCCGTACAGCTGCGAGCTCTGCGAGATTTCTGAGACCCTGGGCTTCGGGATGTCCATGCTTGGAGGTTTGGCGAACTGCAGAGCTTCTTTGTTTGCCAATGTCGAGGTTCGGGATTTTGTCACGGCAATTCGCAAGACTCTGTGTAGATTCTAGATGGTAGGACTGGTAGGACTTGAACTACATGGGTCATTACATCGAAAACCGCGATGCCCCGGACAACATGAAATTTGCATGGCACTTCCGATTTCGATTGCTAAGCTCGAAGACAAAACAAAGACTTAACGGACTTAACGTGTCCGTGCGCTTGTGTCTGCAGGGACTGCCATTCGACTTTTGTGCAGCCGTGGTGGCTCTTTATGATGTAGACTACGTGTGCAGCCAGCCAGCCGTGCTGACGTTGCGCAAAAGCCAGCCATGGCGCACGGGTGTTTCGAAGTGCGCGTGGAGCTAAAAAAAAATTGGGACCAACTTGACAATACTAGTACGACTTCCTTTCCCAGGTGGAATGCCCGACCGTTTGGAGGACCTTCAGACGGAGCTGCGCGCCCAATTCGGTGACTTTTCTGGAGGTGTTTTTTTGGATGGAGAGGGTTTGGTGGATCTGGAAGACTATAATGACTGGGTCCTTGAACCCCCAGCACTCGAATGCTTGGAGGTCCAGCTCTCGGTACCGAAGATCGAATTCCTCGCCATGGCCGTCTCTAGGCAGGCCGATGGCCAGCAAAGTAGGCCCGGGCCCAGGCTCGAGCTCTTGGGCCACGGGGGCTTCGGAGCGGTCTTCCGTGTGGATGGCATGTATGCCCTGAAGGTTCCTGGGGTTCTCCGCGGCGGCAAAATGGTCATTCCGACCGACGAGCAGCTGACAGGGCTGACCCCAGAGGAGCGGGAATACTATCGGAAGTACAGTCTGCCCATGCTGCAGCACGAACTTCACCTGCTCGGAAAGCTCAAGCATCCCAACATCGTCGGGTTGATGGATTCCGTAGATGTGGTCTGTCAGAGTGGCGGCCGATTTTCGGGCTTCGTCATGGAACTGGGCCTTGCCTCGCTGGAGATGATGCGTGTCAAGACCAACAGCAAGACCTTCCACGCGATCTGCGGAGAGGCGCTGCTGGGGGCGCACTGCTCGCGGGTAGGCCAGGACCCCGGCATCTTCGGAGCACTCAAGTACCTGCATGCCTATCATCTGCGGATCCATGGAGACATTAGTCCCGGAAACATCGTGTCCATGAGGTGGAACCCGGCGGAGCCGCAAGACATGTTATTGAAATTGATCGATTTTGGAGGCACCGCGGTCATCGAGCAAGAGACGCGGAAGTGCGGGACCAAGGGCTACTATGATGAGAAGCCAGGACAGTCTGCGGATACCTTCATGGATTTCAGAGCACTGGGTAAAGTCGTTTACAAAGTCCTCAAGGAGTCAGACTTTGAGATGACCCAGGCTATCTGTTGCCTTCCTGCTGGTCGTGGCAAGTGGGCGTGGATTTCTGAACTTGAGACCTGGCAAGCAGAAGCCGATTGGGCTGACATTACGCAGGTTTTTCTCCCAGGGACGCGCGTACGATGCCAGGACGGAAGCACTCTCTTCAGCCAGCTTCCTGGTCTTCTCGGGGGTTTCAAAGACGTGGTGCTGGCTGCGGTGAAAAGGTGTGGGAGAGAAATCTGGAAAGCCAGCAGGAGGCTCCGGAACGACAAGGAGGTCGTGCTGGCTGCGGTTCGCCAGAATGGGCAGGCCCTCCAGTATGTCGGCACAGAGCTCCGGAACGAGAGGGAGGTCGTGCTGGCTGCGGTGCGCCAGGACCGGCGGGCCCTCCAGTATGCCGGCGAAGAGCTCCGGAACGACAAGGAGGTCGTGCTGGCTGCGGTGCGCCCGGACTAGGAAGTGCTACTGCACCCCGCCTATGATTTGCCCGGCGGTGCCCTTTGCAAAGCTTGAATTACAGCAAAGTGGCTTGTCGAAGCACGTCTCGCCACTACCGGCGAGTCTCAATTTTTGAGGGCTGCTAGCTCGTCGCGCCCTACGCGCGGCAGCTCAAGCCATGCCATGCAGGCCATGCACCTCCCCGATGCCTCGCGACCCTACGGACCGGCGCCGGGACAAAAAGTCAGGCCGAGCTGGCCGGTGATAGTGGCTGACCGCTGAGGGGGCAGACGGATGTGCACCGTCAACTGCCAGGCTTTGGCGGCGTGCGACCTGGCCCTGGCCCAGCGCCGACGACCGACGAATCGAGCTGCAGGCAATGAGTGCCAACTGCTGCTGCTCATATACATGGCTACATGGCTGATTCATCATGGTGCTTCCTTCATCTTCATTCACTTTCGCCAGATTTCGCCAGGCATGGCTGGCGCAGTGGCTGGCGCTGCTGGCCTCTCCAGTCAAGGCAGTCCGGCTGTGCTTCGCCGTTTGGAGTTGAAGCCGAGCGGCTGCGAGCTCTGCGAGATTTCTGGGATCCTATAGGCTTGGGATTTTCACGTTCGAAGGTTTTGCGAACTGCAAAGCTTCGTTCTTGTAATTTGCCAAAGTCATTTCTGGCGGAGGGCGCCGAGATCTTGCAATGGCTTCTTAATCTGTGTGTGTGTGTGTGTGTGTGTGTGTTTGTGCGTGCTTTTGTGTTTGTGCATGCTCGTGTCAGTGGGGAATGTTGTGCGACATGCATGCAGCCATGGTGGCTTAAATTTCCAATGATGTAGAGTGTAGGCTATGTGTGCAGCCAGCCAGCCGTGCTGGCATCGCCCTAACGTGCCGCGAAAGAGCCAGCCGTGGAGCATGGCTGTTTCGAAGTGCGTGAGCTGCGCGCTCAATTTAGTGATGAAGCAGGAGTCGTCTTTTGAGCTGTGGTTTCCAGTGCCATTGAGCCGGCTTTGTGCGATCTCGAAGATTACGATGACTTGGTCCCTCATGCATACCCAGCACCTAGAAGCTTGGAGGTCCAGCTGTTCCGAAGCTTCGAGGTGCAAATTGAAGGAGTGCCCGAGCTTCGGGAGGTGAAGAAAATCACACCTTCCCGAGACCTCAGCAGCGGTTACACAGCTGGGACGTTTGGAATGTCTGCGACCATCCGACCAGAAGGCGATCAAGATGTCAAACGCGCGTGAAACGCTTCGGAATGAGGTCAGAAACTTGAAAGAAGTCGGCGAGCGCCCCAACATCATCACGCTCCACTGCGATTGCGAGCTGACTTCGCTGGGCAGGTCTCATTGCAGCTACTCGGCATGGTCGCGGTTTCGGGTGGGGCGACATAAGCCTTGGCAATGTGCTTAGCACGGGTATCACGAAGTGTTCAACGATTGTGGCAGCATCATCCCTGGAGGACCACCCGTGGGTGCAAGCGACGTCACCAAGTATTGGGATTATTGGGAAGGCATCAGGATCCTTCGCATCGCTTTGTCCTTAAGCTGCCGGATCCGGATGGTGCTGGCCAGGCAGGGAAGGCCTCAAGCTGATCTCGTTTGGATCACTGTCGCCTCGACATCCACCAGCAGACGCTGAGTGCCAAAGAGGAAGTGCCGTCGAGTTCTGGCCTGGAATATTGGAGTCTTGGGTCGGTGGTGCGAACCGCGCAGAAGTCGAGCGACATTACCAGTAATTACTACCCGCCTCGCTGCTTTGAGCGCCAATGGCTGCGGCCAGATCGCCTTGAGCGTTTCCAGCAGCATGAGCAGCAGAGAATCTGCCTCCTCGATCCCATCCTTCACGGCCTTCGTGCGGAACAGCATGGGCAGCTATGATCGCAACGCCAGCAGACGTTTCGCCCTGTATCTGTGTTTCCCTTAGCATGAGGCAGCGGCCCACTGGTATTGCAAACGCCGTCGGTCCACGCTATGGCAAAGTCTGGCCCATGGTCTGATCCTGAACAGTGAGGATCTTCCCAAGATCCATCCCATTCGCGACTTGAGGGTTCGGACTTGAACGGTGCAAGCTGTCCACTTCTGGCCAGAACATGGAAGGCAATTGGAAAGGAAGGGGCAACTGTGGAAGAAACGGGCACGTGCTTCTTTCTTCGTTGTCACCACTTTGAGCAGAGGCGGCTATTCTTGCCACGCCATTCTTGGAATGGCTTGATCCGGGACTTGGCGAACATCCTCAACACAGAGCTGCGGGCTTTCTCAGTGAAGCTGTTGACAGACCAGCGTCGCAAATTGGAAAGAGCCTTCGGTCCGGCGCTCCACGCACATTTCGTCGTGCAGGTGAACATGTGCAGCCTTCCTTTTGGACTATCGGGCTGCACGCCTTTTGGCACTTGCAACGCAACGTCGCAAGCTCTCTTGCATACTTGGAGATCGTGAGTTGCAGTTCGTCGCCGGGGATCTATCGGAGCGGTGGGGTTGCGCTTCGGCGAGAAGCTGATCGAGGCTGAGCTTCGGAGGCTGATGCGCTCGCAACGCTCACACTGCAAGTGCTGCCTATAACAATCCTCGATGAAGTCTTTGCATCCACACGTGAGATTCACATCATGTCTCACTGCGAACTGAAGTGAAGCATAGTGTTTTCGACTAGCCCACCTGTTCTTTGCACTAATGTAGCTTGTCGAAGCACGTCTCGCGACTACCCGCGAGACTTTTTGCCGGCTGGCTCGTTGCGCCCTACGTGCAGCGGCTGAAGCCATGCACCCCACTGCGGACCGGCGCCGGGTCGAATAGTCAGGCCGAGCTGTCCGGTGAGCAGTCGCTGAGGCTAAGGGATGCTAAGGGGGCAGACAAAATGCACCGGCAACTGTGGCCCTGGCCCATCGCCGTCGACGACCGTCGAATCGAGCTGCAGGCAACACGTGGGTGATCACGGGTGCCAACTGCTGGCCATGGCATGTCAAGCGACCCCAGTTGTGTCATCATGTCATAGATTTGCACAAGTTGGAACTGTGCTTCTTCAGCAGCTTGTTGACAGAGGGTTGTCAATGCACCCCCGTGAGTAGCGTTAGTACTCTGTAGTCAGCTTTACTGTGTGTCTGTGTGTCTGTCAAAGAAACCAGCACGGCACTGGTCCTGGCACAGAGGCTGGCGCGTTGGGTTTTGGCTGATGGCGACCGCTGGGCAGCTGGCTCGAGGCATTCCGACTCCTTCTGCTGCATAGTTGGGGCTTGAAGGCAAGTACGGTGTCATGGTCCAGATGCATGGTTTCGTTGTGGTGCTTCCTTTATCTTCCTTTCACTTTCCTCTCCCTTTCGGATAGGGTTTCCCGACAGGCATGCCGAGCGACTTCCGTTTGTCGTCGTATCAGATTGATGGGTGCGCCAGGCATGGCTGGCGCAGTGGCTGGTGCTGCTAGCATCTCCACAGTCAAGGCCGTGCGGCTTCTTCTGCTTACATGCTCGGACGAACGTCTCTTCTGGCGGAGGGCTTCGGGATTCTGCGAGGGCTTCTGCTTGCTTCTCACTGCTCGTTCAAGAGAGGTTCGGCCGACTCAATGCGCTATATACATCACTGCGTAGAAAGAAGTGAAGCAGCGCCCAGGAGCTGTCACTTCCAGCCCGCAGTCTTCGTATGCGATAGGTGCAGCTGCACCACTTGATATATCTAGGAGCAACTCCTCACTGTCGCTCGTGAGTGTGCAGCTGACAGGTGTTGTCGCATAAAGGCTGCTTTCGATTCGGCATGTTTTCAGGTTTGAGAGCACGTCCAGAAGTCCCAGCGCAAGCAGCTGGGACAGTACGAGCCGCAGGCTCTTCCGCGGCTTGGGAAGGAGCTTCTCATCGAGTTGAAACGAAGTTTGGAAACTTTGTTCTTCAGCAACGGTAGGCATAGCTTTTGGAAGCCTTCGGCCAGTATCGGAGGTCATTAAGAGCCTAAATTAAGGTCACACGAGCCCCATGAGAGGCGTGAAGCCTCAGTTGACACAAAGCCTTCGGAGTGGCCATGAAAGCAGGAGCTTGACATGCACCACACTGCAAGGGTAAACCAGCAACCACTCCGGACTCAACCCGCAAAGCCTCGCAAAGCCTGTGCCGAAGGCAGAGACCTCGTGAGTGTCAAAGGCACCTGACGCGGCACCCTCAATTTACTAGTGCTCGGCAAAAAGGAGGGTGCAGGCGTCCATTGTTGCCCGTAGGCCCTTCTGCCTGTCCCATGCACCCAGTGCTAGGCAATTCATCATGGCATTTTTGTCCCTTCAACCTGTCCCATTCCCCCCCCACGCACCCCTGCGCCTCGCCCTAAAGCAACAGCCGAAACTCGATTTCATTAGAAACATGCTGGGATTTGCACTGTTCAAGCGGCTCAAGCCTCCTGTGCCGCACGGCCAAGTAAAACCTGCAATATGATAGCTTCCCGCATGCTCATTTTTGAGGGAATGGGTCAAGTCAATACAATGGATCTGCAGCTTGTTCAGATGCTGCCTTCCGTGACTTGCCTAGCTATGACCTTCTTCATTTTCAGGTGTCATCAGTGTGCAAGTCCTCATCAAGAGTGCTCTGGAGTCAAGTGGCTTTTTTTACAAAGGCCCTGTGGCATTCGGAGGTAGATGGCAACAGAAATACTTTGACTGCTGGCGGTGGCGCAGCAAGTGCTGTGGTTCGAGGAGAATCTTTCAGCTAGGCATGGAACTCATGATGCCAAGGGCCGCTGATATCCTGTGTGACAGCGCAGGGGCGCCGCTTGATCAGCGAATTGGATCCAGTCACCTCACTTCACAGTTTTTGCAGCTTGTTGAGCAGGCACAGTGCAAGTAACTGCAGGCCATTCCGCAGTTCTCAGATCTCGAGCTTTCGTTGCTCAATTCACGACAGTGTCCTCATGCACCGACAACATGTCTTCAACATGCTGCCCCTAATCCGTGCATCCTGAACCGTGTTGTGGTTTGGACTTTTTTGTAGGTCATGTGCGACGCTGCGAGCGCCCTCCGATTTAGGTCAATTAGGCAAACACCAGCAAACCCTGCAGGTTAACAAGTGGCCAGAACTTGGGCATTCCCTGAACAGCAGATCCTAAACCCGAAAGTGCCAAATAGCTGGTTTCAGTTTAGGGTCTACCTCTGGCTCCAATTACATACCATGTTCCGGGCTTGACTCAAGGGCCAGGTTCGGGCGGTATAGGTAAGCAGCTCCCGGCTGGTAAACCTGTGGAGCATGATGATGCCTCCATGGCGGCCCTTGGCATCGATCGGGAGGCCGCTGCTCATTCCAGTGACCCCTGTACAGGACACAGAAGCTTTTATCACTGTAGTCTGAAAAGTTCCTAAGACACGGGTATCTTTGCAGGGTTGAGGTAAGAGTAAGAGCTTAGGCTCTAGTCTCGGAGCTGCGGCTCCGAAGGCCTGAGACTCTTGCGGGCTGTGGCGGTGTGATACAAGCACCCAAGTTGACCAACTCTCCAGTGGTGCACGTTTGTAGGTCGGTTCCGGAGGTTTGACAGAAAAAGGGTTGTGGCCGCGACTGATTCCGTCCAGGTCGCTGGGAGCTCACTTTCTCTGCGCTGCACAGCGCTCAGAGGGACCTAGCAACAGCATGGCGGCCTCTACGTACG